GATCTGGTGAACTGGAAAGTGACCTGAGAAGACATGATGTGAATTGGAGCTATAGAAATAAAATGAATAGAACAATAAAACAGCATGTTGAGGATCAGAAGCAACAAACAGTGCAGGTTCCTGAACATTTTCTCCTGCTGAATATTGTTATTTATGAATATCACAACATGAACGTAACATTCAGAAAATCATTTCAACATCCCTGCTCTGAAATTCTATCATTCCAAATCATCTTATGACAAAATGATGTAAAGAATTAAGTTTTTAATCAGCGAACCAAATCCAGAAGTCAGTGAAAAATCCTGTTTTAAAGTCTTTAAAAGCGACGCTATTGTGTGTTTTGGTCCTGATCCTCAGCATGCAAAGCTTAACAATGGCTTTCAACATGTTACCATGGTTACATATACTGTATAGGTAAGAAGTTAATCAGTGGAAGGAAATAAACTCCTTTTTTTAAATAGGGGATTTTTGTGAAGTGATGTGATGCAGTCTGGATATCCAGAGATGTTTAAGGAATTTAAAACAAATGACAGACCTGCTTTGCACTTTCCCACCTGATCCTTTCTGCATCCGTTTCACTTTGTGCTGATAAGAATAATTAATACTGAATTGAACTTTATCCATCTCACATTTTTAGCTCTTAATGTCTACAAATCATGACAGAAAGAATATTTTAGTACAAATGTTTATGTTTAAAAAGGAATTGTCCATCACCGGTGTTCTGTTAAATCAGCATTAACCCATCAGAGCAGAAAACCTATAATCGATACCTGTTTACCCCGTAGTTATTCCCATTTATCCCTTTAGTGTCGCATAAAAAATATACTTTAAACGACCTCAACTGGTGTGTATCCCTTTAGTCATATACAAAAAACTATTTAATTATTTACTTTTTTTAAGCATATGGAGATCAGAGCTTAACTTGGTTTTTTGTACATGACCAGCCAACGACCTGCCTAGGACCTGCCAAGGATCAGTCAAGGATCAGTCAAGGACCAGCCAAGGATCAGTCAAGGCTCAGTCAAGGACCAGCCAAGGACTAGCCAAGGACCAGCCAAGGACCAGCCAAGGATCAGTCAAGGACCAGCCTGAGACCAGCCAAGGACCAGCTTGAGACCAACCAAGGACCAGCCTAGGACCAGCCAAGGACCCATGAAGGAAAGTGGGAAAAGTTTAAATGGCTGCCACTGAAAGCAGTTTTATTTTTAAAACAAAAGGTCCAACTTAGATGCAGGATGTAAGAAACCACTAAACTGGAGTTATTTTACTGTAAATATAGATTAGTGGACAAACAGACCACAGCATGGCAGCTTTAAAACATCTTTTGATTTGTTTTTCAGTGTAGACCTGTTTCTCTGACTGTGACTAACTGGATGTGCTCTCTTCATCCTCTGGCTGCTCACACTGAGCCTGGTTCTGCTGGAGGTTTCTTCCTGTTCAAAGGGAGTTTTTCCTCTC